GCTTCCTGCTGTTCCTGCCCAAGGACGAGGTGCACGTCCTCGACATGACGGTGGAGCAGGGGCTCAAGCTGGTGGTCTCGGGCGGCATCGTGGTGCCGCCGGCCGAGGCGCGACCGAGCCAGGACGACGCCCTGCAGCGGCTGCTGGCCGAGCAGGCCGAGGCGCGCTCGCTGCGTCCCGGGCTGCTGCAGCGCCTGCGCAACTACCTGCTGGCCGGCGTGCTGATCACCGCGCCGATGGGCATCACCTTCTGGCTGGCCTGGCAGTTCATCTCCTTCGTCGACGCGCGCGTCGCGCCGCTGCTGCCGGCGCCCTGGCAGCCCGACAGCTTCCTGCCCTTCGGCCTGCCGGGCCTGGGGCTGGCGATCATTCTGGTCGGCCTGACGGTGATCGGCATGTTCGCCGCCGGCTGGCTGGGGCGCTGGATGATGCGCACCAGCGAGTGGGTGCTGGGCCGCGTGCCGGTGGTGCGCAGCCTCTACGGCGCGGTCAAGCAGATCCTCGAGACGGTGCTGGCCGCGCGCTCCGACGCCTTCCGCGACTGCGTGCTGATCCAGTATCCGCGCCCCGGGAGCTGGGCGATCGGCTTCATCACCGGCAAGACGGAGGGCCACGTGCAGGAGATCACCGACGACTACGTGGTCAACGTCTTCCTGCCGACCACGCCGAATCCGACCTCCGGCTTTCTGCTGTTCGTACCCTACGACGAGATCACCGACCTCGACATGTCGGTCGAGGAGGGGCTGAAGATGGTGGTCTCCGGCGGCATCGTCACGCCGCCCGACCGCCGCGCCGGCGACCGCGGCACCGCCATCGGCCGCGAACTCTCCGACCCGCTGGGCATGGTCTCGGGCGGGCGCTGACCCGCTCAGCCCGAGCGCAGGGTGCGGATGCCCTCGTCGCGTTCGAAGAGGTAGAGCAGCACGCGCAGGGCCTGGCCGCGCTCGCCTTGCAGCTCGGGGTCGCGCTGCAGGATCAGGCGGGCGTCGTCGCGCGCCACGCCCAGCAGCTCGGCCTGGGACTCCAGGTCGGCCAGGCGGAACTGCGGCAGGCCGGACTGGCGGGTGCCCAGCAGCTCGCCGGCGCCGCGCAGCTCCAGGTCGGTCTCGGCG